AACGCAGGCGGAAAAAGGCAACTGGATGGAGCACAACAAAAATTCGGCGACTCCGAGGGGTGTGGTTTGCAGGGTTTGCACGAAGGGTGCCACTTGCAACGCGCACCCTGGGGTGCGTGCGAGGGCCTTGATGGAGTTCTCCGCCGCCCCCCGAGGAGGCCCGACGAGGGCAACGTGGTGCCCCCCATGCCCCAGCGACGCAGTGGCAAACCACAACCTGGCGGAACCACACCCTTTGTAGTTGCCGAAAGAGCATCGTCCACATGCGACAGCTGATGGGCCCGTCTTCCACCACCACTACCATACGTAGGAAAGGGAGGAGGAGGAGGAAAAGGAAAAGGAGGAGGAGGAGAGGAGGGGGAGGAGGAGGAGGAGGAGGAGGACAAGGAGGAGGATGGGGAGGAGTGGGAGGAGGAGGAGGAGGAGGAGGAGGAGGAGAAGAAGGAGGAGGAGGAGGACGAGGAGGGGGGAGAGGGGTAGGAGGAGGAGGATGAGGCGGAGGAGGAGGAGGACGACGACGAGGAGGAGGAGGACCTCCTCATCCTACACATGGTAGCGGTCGTGGAAAATTCGTCCATCAACAGCGGCATGGCTCGGCCATGTGCCCGCGAGCTCGCCCCCCGGGGCTTCCAGCGCGAAGCCGCGGCGCTGCCCCCGCCGGCCTGCGACCGCGAAAGCAGCGGCCCGTGCGAGGCGGGAGCGGCGCACAGCGCTCAGCGCTTGATGGCCCCGTTCCCCGACGAGGGACTCGACCTTTAACAAAGGAACGAGACATGGCATAAACATAATAACTCGGAGGTCCGCGCGGATGTCTCGGATCGGCGCTGGGGGCCCCAGGCAGCGCCCCCAGCGCCGCCCCTGGCACGCTCCGCGCGCCAGGGAAGGGAGCCCAGCGCGGATCCAAGAGATCCGCGCGGACGTCCGAGTTATTATTTGTATGACATTTTTCGTCCACCTATTTTAAGCCACCCTTCGGGTGATCTAAAGGTTGCGGGTGATGGGTGCAGCTTTGGGCTCACGATTGGCAACAAGTTGGTCTGGTAATATGCAAATGTATGCATAAAAACATGATCGGTCCACGAACCAGGAAAGAAATATAGAACTGTAACACATGGCAGCGTTTTGAAAGACACCTGCTTGGGTGACGGGCAAATGCAATGCTGAAGGTATCGATCTTGATGTACCCTGCCGAGGGCTGTGCTGTGCTGCGCCGTGCTGAATTGCGATGTGCCATGGCGCGATTGTGCTCTATAGCCTCGTGGATCGAGTCCTCCTTTGCATCCGAGTCCTGACCGAACTGATCTGGATCTTAAGCTCGAGCTGCCTGAACACATAGTAGCTGCCCCAGAGCTAATGGACAGGGGAACATGCCAGGAGGACGCGCCGCGAAACGTCCCAAGGGATGCGCCAGGCGACGTGCCAGGGGACGTGCCATGGGGTCGCACCGCGGGACGTGCCAAGGGGACGCGCTACGGAACGTGCCAATGGATGTGCCACGGGATGTGCCAGGGGACGCGCCACGCGACGTGCCAGGGGGACTCGCCAAAGGACGCCCCACGGAACGTGCCAAGGAACGTGCCAAATTGCAATGCTGAGTGTATCGATCTTGATGTACCGTGCCGAGTGCTGTGCTGTGCCGTGCTGAATTGCGATGTGCCATGGCGCGATTGTGCTCTATAGCCTCGTGGATCGAGTCCTCCTTTGCATCCGAGTCCTGACCGAACTGATCTGGATCTTAAGCTCGAGCTGCCTGAACACATAGTAGCTGCCCCAGAGCTAATGGACAGGGGGGCATGCCAGGAGGACGCGACGCGGAACGTCTCAAGGGACGCGCCAAGCGACGTGCCAAGGGACGTGCCATGGGGACGCACCGCGGGACGTGCCAAGGGGACGCGCTACGGAACGTGCTGGGGACAAGCGTTTCGCTCGAGACATCCTTTCAAAATCATGAGAATTTCTACGCGCGGGACGCGGCACGCGCGAGACATCCTCGGAATTCCTGCGAGCGGGACGTGGAAACAAGCATTTCGCCTGAGACATCCTCTGAATTCTGGCCACCCACGAGGCCCCCGCTCGAGACATCCCCCAATTTTGCAAAACCAGCGTTTCGCTCGAGACATCCTCAACAAATTATGAAAAACAAGCGTTTCGCTCGAGACATCCTGTCAAAATCCCAAGAAATCCCAGCAAAACAAGCGAATTAGTCGAGACATTTTCAAAATTCTTACGCGCGGGGCGCGGCACGCGCGAGACATCCTCGGAAGTCTTGCGAGCGGGACGTGAAAACAAGCATTTCGCCTGAGACATCCTCTGAATTCTGGCCACCCACGAGGCCCCCGCTCGAGACATCCCCCAATTTTGCAAAGCCAGCGTTTCGCTCGAGACATCCTCAACAAACTATGAAAAACAAGCATTTCGCTTGAGACATCCTGCCAGAATTCAAGGACATCGGAGAACAACAAACGAATTAGTCGAGACATCCTCGAAATTCCTGCGCGCGGGACGCGGCACGCGCGAGACATCCTCGGAATTCCTGCGCGAGGGGCGCTTTTCCGTGTCGCGGCCGGCTCTGCAAAACAAGCGTTTCGCTCAAGACATCCTCAACAAATTCTGAAACCAAGCCTTTCGCTCGAGACATCCCCAACTCTGCAAAACCAACGTTCCGCTCGAGACATCCTCAACAAAATGAGAAAATAAAAAAACAACGCTTCGCTAGGGACATCCTCAAAAATAATTCCGCCGGCCCTCTTCCCGCACGTAATTTATCGCAGAATAATTCCGCCGGCCCTCTTCCCGTCGATTCCGGGGGCAAACTTCTAAAAGAGAGCCCTGGGCTTCAGCCCTGTCCGGGAAATACTCCGACGGCAGGACCCCACATCAGAATCCTCTCGGCGAATCTGGAAATAGCCTTCACAGTCGTCCTCGTGATTGTTGAAGCACCCTTGCTGTCTCCTCTGCGTCATTCTCCTCCTCGCCCTGGCTCTCCTCCCGCTCCCTACGTTGTCCCCATCCTCGCCTTCTTTTTTGTTCCGCTCCCCTTTCATCTCCTCCCCTTCCTACTGCATGAACGCGCATGTCGATTTTCCTCGGCGGGGTCGCTGTCTCTGCCAGCACTGGCGCAATCTCTAGTGGCCACATTGCGCCGCACCCGTTGGGACAGCCCCGCGGGCCAGGCCGTCGGGGTTACCCCGCGAGCCGCTGGCGCGCGAAACCAAGCCGTTGGGACAACCCCGCGGGCTTCGAACGGAGCGCCGCCGCGCTCAAGCGGGGGGCAGCACGAAGCCCAGCTCTGCCTCGAGCTGCTCCGCCTCTGCCCTGGAGCTCTCCGCTCTGATGTCGAACTCCAGGAGCACCTTCCGCAAGGATGCCGGCGGCCCTCGCTCCAGGAACTCTCGCGGCGGCAGCCGCAGGATCAGCATGTTCCGCCATGCACGTGGCACGGGAGAACATGACGTAGAGGTGCAGCCACCACTGGTCGTCCGACATGCCCGTGCGACCAGCGTCCTCGTCCGTCGCGCAGTCGATGGCGACGCCCTTACGTAGCGTCTGGCCCTGCGACAGCGTGGAGGTGAGGTAGGACGCGTGCGTCAGGGTGAACCCCGAACGGCGCACGCCGTGCGGCTCCGAGCTCTGCCACGTGAACTCCTGCTCGCTGGACCTGAACATCAGCAAGCTCAGCACGCAGCGTTCCCTCACGTCCTCGTCGTCCGGCACCTGGTCGTCGTCATCCTCCTCCTCCGGCACCTGGTCGTCGTCGTCGTCGTCCTCGTCGTCACCGATTACCTTCTCGTCTTCCGCTGGCGAGCTCTCGCTAACATGAGCTGCGGGCCCCTTGGGGCGGAGGCTTCCGCCTGAGAATCCCTTACTAGTCACTCACAGACGAGGCTCCCGCCTGACACTTCCCCCACATTCAAGCCTCAGGGGCCCAACAGTGACAACTGTTAGAAATTTTCCGATGACCCGTTCGGATTAAAAACATGATGGACCCACGAACCCGGAAAGGGATAAAGACATGTGCAGCATGGTCGCGTTTTCACGATACCCAACTGGGCGACATCTCACGAAACATCCCACGAGACACCCCGCGAAACATCCCACGAGACACCTCACGAAACATTCCACGAGACACCTCACGAAACTTTCCACGAGACACCCCGTGAAACATTCCGCGAGACACCCCACGAACAGGAAACCACTCAACCAGACACGCCACGAAACATTCCACGGGGGTGCGACTGGGTGTGGTCGTGCTGGGGTGTGGTCGTGCTGGGGTGTGGTCGTGCTGGGGAGTGGTCGTGCTGGGGTGTGGTCGTGCTGGGGGGTGGTCGTGCTGGGGGGTGGTCGTGCTGGGGGGGTGGTCGTGCTGGGGGGTGGTCGTGCTGGGGCGTGGTCGTGCTGGGGCGTGGTCGTGCTGGGGCGTGGTCGTGCTGGGGCGTGGTCGTGCTGTGGTGAGGTCGTGCTGGGGTGTGGTCGTGCTGGGGTGTGGTCTTGCTGGGGTAGGGTCGTGCTGGGGTCGGGTCGTGCTGGGGTGTGGTCGTGCTGGGGTATGGTCGTGCTGGGGTGGGGTCGTGCTGGGGTGGGGTCGTGCTGGGGTCTGGTCGTGCTGGGGTGTGGTCGTGCTGGGGTATGGTCGTGCTAGGATGGGGTCGTGCATTTCGCTCGAGACATCCTGCCAAAATTCCAGGAAATCGTACAAAAACAAACGAATTAGTCGAGACATCATCGAAATTCCTTCGCGCGGGGCGCTTTTCCGTGTCGCGGTCGGCTCTGCAAAACCAGCGTTTCGCTCGAGACATCCTCAACAAATCTGAAACAAGCGTTTCGCTCGAGACATCCCAACTCTGCAAAAAGCGGCCCGCTCGAGACATCCTCAACAAATTCTGAAAAACAAGCGTTTCGCTCGAGACATCCTCAAAAATAATTTCGCCGGCCTCCTTCGACCTCGATATTTATCAAGGAAAAATTTCGCCGGCCTCCTTCAAGTTTGGGCACGGGGGACTATGTTTACATACTAAAAGAGAACCCTGGGCCTGAGCCCTTTCCGGGAACAAGAGCTGCAGGCCACATAGGGCGGAGGCTCCCGCCTGAGACCTCCTCCGATTCACTCACAGACGAGGCTCCCGCCGGATACTTCCCCCATATTCAAGACTGAAGGGCCCAAAAGTGACGACCGTTACAAATTTTCCGACGAACCACTCGGACAAAAAACATAAACTGCGGGCCCCACACGGCGGAGGCTCCCGCCTGAGACTTCCTTGCTATTCACTCAAAGACGAGGCTCCCGCGTGATACTTCCTCTATGATCAGGCCTCATGGGCCCAAAAGTGACGACGGTTACAAGTTTTCCGACGACCCGCTCGGATTGGAAAAATTAGCTGCGGGCCCCATAAAGAGGGGGCTCCCGCCTGAGACTTCCTCGCAATTCACTCACAAACGAGGCTCCCGCCTGAGACTTCCTCCGATGATGAGGACGATGGTGATGGGTGATGGTGACGATGGTGATGGTGACAATGGTGGCGGGTGATGGGTGATTATGGTGACGATGGTGACAAGTGATAGTGATGGTGTTCACTCACGGACGAGGCTCTCGCCTGAGACCTCCTCAAGCTGAGTGTGTGGGTGTGTAAGTGAGTGTGTGCGATAATGACGATGGTGACGGGTGGTGTTGTGATATGATGAGTGATGGTGAGTGAGTGAGCCACTTAGGATAAGTGAGTGAGTGTGAGTGAGTGAATGAGAGTGGTCGGGTGAGTGTGAGCAAGTGTGTACGTGATGTTGATGCTGTGATGATGATGTGGGTGTGTGAGTGTGTGAGTGAGAAGAGAAGGGTTATTTCTTCGATCATGTTCCTGCGCGGGGCGTCCAGGGAAAACAAGGATCCGACTTTGGATGTGGGGAATAGACACGTGTACATAGCATCGAAATATGAATATTCACAGTTCCATTGCTATTCCTACTCTTCCAATTTATCGTGTACCCGAAACCCTGGAAACACATGGCCAACAAAAAAAGACAAAACTAAAA